GAAGCAAATCCTGGGTGTCGTCTCAGATAACTTGGGTTTTGGTTTTTGGGGTTTTTTTTGTTGTTGTTTTTTTTTTTAGGGGCAAAAGAAGTCAAGGAGGAAAGATAGTTTTTCCTTAACTTGTGTTCCAGCGAAAAGCAGAGAGCTTCCCAGAGTGTCTGAAGGATGAGGATTTATTTAGGATTTTATTTATTTGACAGAGAGCACAAAAACATATGTAGACAGGGAGACAGGCAGATGGAGAGAGAGAAACAGACTCTCCACTGAGCAGGGAGCCCAACGTGGGGCTTGATCCCGGGACCCTGGGATCATGACCTGAACCGAAGGCAGACGCTTAAACTACTGAGCCACCCAGGTGTCCCAGAAGGATGAGGTTTTAAAGGAAAAGAACTTAAAAGGGGCTGTTTGCTGAGGAATTCAAGCTGGAGACCGTCTTTAAAAACCAGAGCACGGTTTTCAAAGTAATTTAAACAGTGAAACAAAGGATGGGTTTTTAAGATACTCTTCGATTCCTGCTGAGTTTAGGATTAAACCACCCTTTTCCGGTGAGATCAGACCTGCCTTAGAAGTTTATGGGAAAGGGGATATGTATGCCTCTGGGACATGGTTCTCCCCCGATTTTACTCTCTTGATTCAATTTAGACACAGGCCCCCCAATCCCCCGCTACCGCCTGTGTCCATTTTTAAGAGTCCTTTTAGGTTTACAGAAGAACTGAGCAAAAAGTACAGAGTTCCCCTAAGTCCCTCCCCCTGAGAAGTTCCCCCTGTTAACATCTTGCATTAGTGTCTTATATTTGTTACGAGTGATGAACGAATGCAGCGTTGTTACCATGTAATCTGTCCTTTACATGAAGCTTTGTTCCTGTGCATTGTCTGGGCTCGGACAGACGTGTGATGACATCAGTCCACCATTACTACGTCAGAATGGTTTCGCTGCCCTGGAAGTTGCCTGTGCTCATCCAATTCATCCCTCCTTCCCCCACTAACCTCTGTCAACCACTGCGTTTTTTTGGTTTTTGTTTTTGTTTACTGTGTCCATTTCTCAGTCTTTTCCAGAACATTCTAGCGTTGGGATCCTACAGCATGCAGCCCTTTCCGACGGGCTTCTTTGATTTTGTAATAAGCATTTAAGGTTCCCCCTTGTCGTTTCCTGGCTGGGGAGCTCCTTCCTTTTTAGTGCTGAATAATGTGCCTCCGTGTGTGGAAGGACCACAGCTGACCCATTCATCTGTTAAGGACATCTTGGTTGCTCCCAATCAGGGGCAGTGATGCCTAGACCGGCTGTAAATATCTGTCCCTCTTGCGGGCGATGACCTGAATTTTCAACTCCCTTGGGTAAATTCTGAGTACTGCGATTGCTGGATTATACCACATAGAGAATTTTTAGGATGATTTGCAAGGATCTCTTTTTGGTCAGCGGCTTCAGTCAAAACTTGAAGGTGTGATGTATATGAAATGCACTAATCTTGATGGATGGTTTGAACTTCTGGACATGTCTATATCCAGATCCTGAGATCCGGATACGGAGTGTGTCCAACACCTGTGTTTGTGTACTGTCTCGGGCAGTGTGTCCCCCCCACCCCCTACCCCAGAGGTAACTCTACTTGGACTTCTAGCACCATCCCTTGGTTCTGCCCGTCAGCCAGCTTCCACCATGCTTTGGAAAGCGGGTTTTTTGGGGGGTGGCTGGGGAAGGGGCCGTGAGTAGCAGTATGCTTTATTTTGGCTTTATTTTGAGCAGTGCCTGGTTTCCTCATTGTTCGTGCTGGTCTGGAGTGGAGAGGTTGGCACACTTTCTGGGTAAATATTTTGAACTGCAGGCCAGCGAATGAATAAGCGTGGCTATGTTCCAATAAAACTTGACTTATAGAAACAGGAAGTGGGCCAGATTTGGCTCATGGACCAGAGTTTGAATCCAGTGTAGAGGAGGGCTTTTCCTTTGTAAAATCCGGCCCTGGGCCACGCTCCAGGTCTGACCCCACATGCCCTGGGAAGGGGAGCCTTGCGTACCTCCCAGGGCTTCCTCAGGTGGCCTTTATGTGCCTGCCAAGCTGAGAACTTTCTGAGTTTCCTCCAAGGAGGAAGACCACAGTTGTGGGGCCCAGGACTGTGAAAATGGATTAAAACAAACAGAAACCCAGCCCGACTCTCCCCACCTTGACCACCACTGAAGTCCGCTCCTTTTGCATTCATTGCCTGTCCTCCCCTCCTCCTGCTCATCTCCAGTGGCAGGCCCTTCCTGCCCGGCGAGTGGAAAGCACTGTTAAAGTTGAAGATCAAGGAAGGTTCTTCAGTGAGGTGGAAGGGAGCGGGGGAACACGAAGAAGTCAGGAGACGTGGGGGATCCCTGCAGAGGTGAAGAGAGTGAGAGAGAAAGTTGTGGCCAGGCGGGGAAATTTCGCCGTCAGGCTCCTTGGAGGTGCATCGGTTTCGAGTGACTGAGGGCTGAGGTAAGCTTGTCATGGTCCCTGAGCACGGTCTGGGTTTCAGGCACTTTCTATGTGCCACCTTCACGCAGCGAGGAAGTGGCCACTGTCGGCATTCCCACTTTACAGAAGTGGAGACTGAGGTGTTCAGGGGTTGTGTGGCTGAGGGCGGGCTGCAGAGCTGCTCTGAGGTTGGAACCAGGATTTGAACACTGGCAGTCTGACACCTCGGTCCTGGTTGCCTCTCAGGGCGGGATGGGGGGGTGGGCAGCGGGGAGTGGCTAGGTGGGTGACTGGGAGGGTGGCGTTGGAAGCCGGTGGCTTTGGGAGGTGGAGGTGACTGTTGGTGTGTGTATGTGTTCTGTGGCCGCGGAGGTGGCAGAGAGAAGTGTGGGGGATGGAGGACCCCCTGGCAGGGAAGGGTGGACAGGTGTAAGCCATGGCCTTCACAGCTCTCAAAACCAGGAACTGGTCTGAGACCATGTGAGTGTTGGCGGGGGACACAGGCTGGGCCAACTCCAGAGGCGGACTGAAGGAGGGTTTGATAGGTGGCCCAGGGGACAGCCTGCATCAAACAGGATGAGAACAGTATTTGAGGGCGCCATCGGCATCCTTGTCTACTCTAGGCTTTGAGTAATGACAGCGGCCATGGTAGTGGTACTTCCCATGACAAGTTAAGGACATCACTTAACTGGGACCCCACTAAGCAGAACCTTCCAACAATGGGAATTTCTCTGGTTTTTATTTTAGGAAACCACAGCTGAAAAAAAGTGGGTGGGCCGGGGATTTATTCGAATGCATTAACTTCCAGGTTTTACCCTGGAACAGTGGCCATGTAGGTCTCACACAAGTCAAGACTGTTCTACAACACAGACCCGATTACAAGGCTTGGCGCAACTACTGGCTGAGAAACTTGAATGCCAGCGGCTATGGGGAACATAAAATGATCTCAGACACGGCTTCTGCCCTCAAAGAATTTTCGGTTAGTGCATAGCGGATGCCTTCATCTTCCAGGCAAAGAGGCAGGATTGTGTTATGACATTTAGTTCAAAGATCCTCAGGAAGATTTAAGGTTGAAAGGGTATAAGAGAAGGGGCGCCTGGGTGGCTTAGTTGGTTGAACGTCCAACTCTTGGTTTCGGCTTAGGTCTTGATCTTGGAGTCACGGGATCGAGCCCCCGCTCTGCGCTCAGCGGGGAGTCTGCTTGAGATTCTCTTCCTCTCCACCCCCGTGCCACCCCTGCCACCCTGTGTGCTCACTCACTCTCCCTCTCTAAAAAAAAACCAACCAACCAACCAAACAAACAAAAAAACCCAAACCGAAAAACAATAAAAGGAGCAAACATTTATTTTTTAAAAAAGTATGCGAGAACCCTAAGGGTGTGATCTTCGGGAACATTCCAGATGCGGGGGGCGTACGGGTCATATCTGACTCTTCAGGGCCCGGTACGGGTCCCAGACTGGCTCACAGCCAGCCTGCCAGGAGAGCTCAGCATCTGAAAGGCACAGATGAGAAGGACTGCGGCGGACAGCTGGGGTTTGGGCCCTGCTCCTTCTTCCTTGGGAACATCGGGAGTATAGGCAGAAGTCACCATAAATCCTGCTTCGGAGTTCCCAGTTCCCTAGGAGCCCAGTTTACTTTCTCTGAAGGGCCCTTTCTTGGGAGGACAAGCAGGCGCCTCCCCCATGCAGCTCCCAGGTCTGCTGGCTCCCTCTCTGAGCACCCGACTGGCTGGGAGGCGGAGGCTCATGGGCCCTTGTGAAGCAGCCCGCGCTATCCTACTGACATTACTTGTCGTCACGTAGAAGCACACTCTTGTCACAACTCTGAGTTTCTGGCTTCTCGTGCCAACAGTGAGTCCGGCAGTTTCCCCTCCCTCCCAGCACTGGCTGGTGCTTCCGCTGTCATCCGGCCCCTGGCTCGGACGGTGGCTTTCTCGCTCTGCGTTGTTTCCACCTGTGCTCTGCCAAAGTGGATTCCAAAGGGAAAAGCGGCCCGTGTCCCCCACCACCGTTGCCTGCCGGAACCCTATGGGCAGGTGTTCTCTCTGGATACATGGGCAGCCCTTGTGCTCGAGCGAGCCTTGGGTCTCTGGTCTTCCTAGACTTTTCTTTTAAACAGCCAATGTGGGATGAGTCATGGTTTCTCTCTATCCAGGTACATGGGTTTCCTGCTGACACGAGATTCTGCACTCGTGGGCTGCACGTGGACTGCCCAGTTACTGGTGGAATAACCCAACCTTTATCTTTAGGGAACTGGTCCTTATCGCTATCAGGTGGGAAGGCAGTAACCACTGTCCTGTTTCACTTCAAAGGTGGCCGAGTTTCGAAGAGGGCCCATGATCTTTGCAATCAAATGAGGGGAAAGTACTGGATTCTTCGAGAGGGGAAAGATGCTGGTAGGATAATGACTGTCTCAGGACATCTGATGTGCTGGTGGGCTCCGAGCCGGCAGCCTGGCGGGGCGGGGCTTGAAGTGCACGGGGGACAGCGTGCAAAGTCAGAGCCCATATGGTGAGTTTGGTGCTCGCCCTCTTGGCCTCTGCAGTGAGGGGGCTTCTGGGTTCTTTCCTAGGCACCCATTGGCCACCTTTTTCCACCTATTTTTCCGAGTAAGTGCCATTGTCACCTATGTGTGCTGTGACTGGTTCAGCAGAAGCTTCGTGGGCTGCTTTGTCACCGTGCTCCTCCTCCTGTCCTTTGACTTCTGGTCTGTGAAGGTAAGGCCGCCTCGCTCGTGACGCCGTGGCTCCTGAAGCCACGAGGGCTGTAATTCTCAGCTGCCACGGTTGCAGATCGCTATCTAGGAGGGTGGCAACTCCCTACAGCTTGCATTTTCTGTAAAATTTGCGTAAATTTAAAATATGTATGCTGCATATTGTTTGTGGGGAGGGCGTGCATGTGGGGGGGGGCGGGGAAGTCACCGGTTACATTAAGCATAGTTCGGCTTACCTCTCCTCCTGCTCCCAGGGCAAGTTCGATACAATCGGTGACTTTATTTTGTGTGCCAGCGGAAAGGTGATATTCTCTCCCTGTGGCGTGCTTAGAGTCCTCCTGTCTATTTCCCCCAGAACGTAACTGGGAGACTCATGGTGGGCCTCCGCTGGTGGAACCAGATAGACGAAGATGGGAAAAGCCACTGGATTTTTGAAGCCAGAAAGGTATCATCTCACAAGTCAAATTCAACCCAGGAGAATGGCTGTGGAGGGTTTGCACGGGTCCCTGCGGGGCTGTGTGCAGATCAGAGCCCTACCCTGGGCTGAGGCCGCCGCTGCGGGAGCGCCCCTGACACCAGCGGGTGGCAGAAGCCTGTGGACGAGAAGCCAAGAGGACCGCCTGCCCCTCTGCAACTAGTTTCCCTCATTCTGAAAACGGACTCTCTCCTCCCTTCCCAGGCCTCTCCGAACCAGACCGCCGCCACCGAGGCGGAAGCTCGCATCTTCTGGCTCGGCCTCATCATCTGCCCGCTCATTTGGATTGTGTTCTTTTTTAGCACCTTATTCTCCTTGAAGCTCAAGTGGCTGGTAAGGCGACACCCCGGCTCGGACGGTGCTTTGCCGTCTGCACGGGCCAGGGCTGCGGAGGGGGCTTCTAGTACCCGCTCATTTGCAACCTCTTTGCTGAGGTCATTCACGTACCTCACGAGCCACCCCTTGGGCACATATAGCTGTGGGCTTCCAGTATATTCAGTGTGCAGTCATCACCACAGCCCATTTTAGGGTATTTCCAGCACCCCCAAAAGGAGCCCTGTACCCTCTAGCCCTCACCATCTCCAGTGCCTGGCATGCTCCTCTTTCTGTTCCAACCCTTACCAATCCAGACGTTGCCTGTAGCTGGAATTCTATACTGGAATTGTTTGTGCGCTTCTTTCACTGCACGCCGGTTTTCAAGGTTCATCTGTGTTGTAGCCTTTATCAGTACCTGTTCACGGCTATGTAATATTCCACCGTAAGGACCTGCTGCGTTGTTTCTCCACTCATCCACTGACGGACTTTCGGTTGTCTCTTTTGGACTCCTAGGAGTAACGCTGAGAGAGGAGTTGTAAGCAAAACAAAGTGCTTTCTTACCCTAGAATGTTCCTAAGTAGGAATAAGCAAGTTCGAGTTCTGAAGTTTTGTTTTACAGGTTGTGAGTATATTCAGACACAGCCTAGAGCCCCACCCAGGGCTCGAACTCATGACCCTGAGATCAAAACCTGAGCTGAGGCCAAGGGTCGGACACTCAACCCACTGTGCCACCCAGGCGCCCCTATTTCAGTTTTAGGACTCTATTTCATGGCTGTGATCGGGCTCCTTCAGGGAGAAAGCCTCCACAGACGGTCTAAGTAGCCGTGTAATCAGAAGCGGGGGCTCCAGAGTTTGGCTGCGGGCCCAGCTATGCATCAGCTCTGGGACTTCAGGCAACTTTCCTTTCTCTGGGTTTCGGTTTCCCTCCTACAAATTGGGATGATGAGGGCGCCGCCCACTCCGGTGGCGGCTGACTGAAAGATGCCCGTGAGGATTTGAGAAGGCTCACCAGAGGCTGGCTGTTACGAGGTACAGGCCAGAGCCACTGCTGCGCAGTTTGGGAGGAACATTCCTGTATGTGCTATTGGAAGAACCGCCTTTGCTGTGTCTGTCCGCAGGCCCTTGTGATAGCTGGGATTTCTCTCCAAGCCGCAAACCTGTATGGCTACATCCTTTGTAAGATGGGAGGCGAGAGTGACATCAGCAAAGTCGCAGCCAGTTTTCTGTCCCAGACGGTGTTCCAGACGGTGAGCTGCTGTAGTCTTCCTCCTGGACCCCTGCACTCCACACCCTTCGAATGCGGGTGGCCTCCGGGCAAATGCAGTTGGAACCTGTTCCCTATCAGCTAGGCTGCTGGGGTCAGTGGTGTGTGTGTGTGTGTATTAAAATCGGCACAACATTACATTGACCACTTGGACCGTTTTTAAATGTACAGGTCAGTGGTGTTAAGTACGTTTGTGCAGTCACGCCACCTTCAGCACTGTCCCTTTCCAGAGCCTCCCCATGACACAGTGATTCCTGGTCTCCCCTCCCCAGCCTCCCACCATCTACTTTGCTCTACGAATCTGACTCCAGCAGGGCCTTTGTGTAAGTCCTTTCGTGATGGCCACTGTTAGTGTTGAGTGATCTAAAAACTACAGAATTAAGTACTACACACACGCCATTTTTTTTAACCTAGCATATATTTCCAGAAGTGTGAGATCTTTTCAAATGGATGGTTTGAGCCATCTTAAAATTTGAACAATGCTACTTTATGCCAACACATTGAGCAGTGAGCCCTGTGGGCTTTCGGTTACATCGTGGGTTTGCTCTGGGCCTTGTATCAGCAGAGTCAGGCCCCTCACGTGTGAGGACAAAGCCCCAGTTGACTTTTCTCCTTACAGGCCAGCCCAGGTGACTTCCAGAAGCCTGGCCTTGAGGGGCTGGAGATTCACAAGCATTAGGTAAGAGGCAGGACAGAGGTGGGGGCTGGGGCTCCACTGTGCGGGGCGGCTAGGGTGCACAGTGGGGAGGGAGCTAGCCAGAGGTGTCTGGCCGCTGGGCCTTCCCCCGGCTTCCCGGGCCCCCTCCCCTTACTCACATGGAACAGACACAAACTCCACCACGGGTGCAGGCCAGAGGCAGGGGGATGGGAATGAGGGGAGAGGGAGCGAACGAAGGGATCTGCCCATCCTTCCCCGGACGGCCGGAGGGAGCTGGAAAACAGCAGTTACCTCTCCCCCCCGCCTTGGTGTCAGTTCTTGTGCATCTCCTCACAGCGAGAATTCTAGAGTTTATGTTGGTCTCTCTTATGTAATGAAAAAAAAAAAAAAACAACAACAACCCTGTAAACGGTCTCATAGGACGGCAGAAATTACTGGACAGTGAACGCATCTTAGCGTGTGGGGCACGGACCTGGCCCCCCTGTTCTGTCTACAGGGGTGACTGAAGGGCTCTTCGGGGCTGGTTGCATTTTCCCCTCAATCTAAAGCAGCGGCATTTGGACCATGTTATTCGAAACCATGACTGGATTTTGAGATGGTTCTTTTTTAGGCGAATCTCCTCAGGCCGCAGTGGCTTAAGTAAGAGGTTCTGTCCTTCCGCAAGTTTCCAGCAGAGAAGAACTCCCTGACCAACCAGCTGTCCGTTTTCCGGAAGCAGGCCTTGGGGAGAGGTTTGAGGAGACATTTTTATTCTTAAGACAGCGTGTTTGTAAAGAATGCCTTTATGTGTATGTTGAAAAGTATACAAATAATACGATTAAAGTGTCTGCAAAAATGACTTCACGCCCTACCAGAGTCTGGTCCTTTTCTGCCCAAGACCCCCGCTCTGTCCCCGGGCTGCTCAGGCTGCGCTCCACGTGCAGCTCGTGTCTCAGGAACCAACGAGGTGCTCTTCTTTGGGCTGATGGTGACCACAGAACTCCTGGATCCCTGGACCAGGAGACAACACAGAAGCAGTGAGGCTGTGCCCGTCTCTCTGGCAGCCCTGCCTCCGCGGGCGAGGGCCAAAGCCCCCAACGGCTCCACTCCCCCAAAGGCCCAGTTTCTGCCGATGCCCTGACTCTGTCCATGGGCCTCGGCGCACAGATGGAGACCTTACGTCGGCGCGTTCCACAGATCAAGATGCCCGGCATCTTGATACCAATGATACTAATGGTACCAATCCGTCCCGGACACTCTTCTCCTGGGCAAAAAGAACTTGTCACAGAGCACCAGCTGACAGCTTTAATGACCTGCTCCACCCCAGTGGCCTTAAAATGCAGGCCGCTGTTGGCCACTCCCCAGCACGCTCAGGCCTGCACGTGGTGGTTTTCTTTTTTTTCCTTCCTTTCATCCTTCCTTCCTTCCCTCCTCCCTTCTTTCCTTCCTTTCCTCCTTCTTTGTTTCTCTCCTTCTCTCTCCCCCTCTCTCTTCCTCCCTGCCCTTCTTTTTCTCTTTCTCTTCTTTCCCCTCAACGGCTTTCTCGAAGATGCCTGGCTTCCTGAGCTGAGGAGTCATTGCAGCCTCCACGAGCACTACTGTCTCCAGCTGAGGCTGAGTAGTGGTGAGCCTGATGACCCACAAATGGCTCTGCGTGGGACCTTCACACCCAGCCGGGCAGCCCTCTGGACCCAAGGGACTCGCGGGCACACGTACTTTGAATGATTCTTCTATAGGCTAGAGCGGCTGCAGAAGCTGGTGCGTCCATCAGGAAAGACTGTCCTTTGTCGCAACTCTTACCTTAGAGAAATGAAAAAAAATTCGTGAAGAAAATAGTGGCAAGGTGAAGTAGGGGGCTCTTTTGGGCCTGTGACATGGAGACCTTGAGCCCCTCTGACCTGTGGTGAAGAGCGAAGCAGAGAATTCACACGAGATGAATGGGACACGAAGACATGCGTGGAATGAGACCACCTAGCCTGGTGCTGTTCTCCCCTCCTCCCTCTGCTCCTCCCTCCACTTTGCGTGCCCCTGAGCCTCAGCGGAACCCCCGGCCCCCTGCTCAGCACTATGACAGAAGCATGTCAGTGGTTCTGCTCCCCAACCTCTGGAGGGTCCTGGCAAGGCCAGCTGTCCCCTCAAAGAGCAAAACCAAGGGAGGGAAGGAACAAGGAGAAGTGGGCAGCAGAGGCAGAGCCCAGGCTACCCTGGGAATATGCTGGACTACTGGACTAGGTCTGGGGAGGCCTCATGGTTTCAGCTAGAAGTGAGGCTTGAGGCCTCGTGACTTGTCCCAGAGGCCTGCCCGCTAGAAGGCACCTCATTCGCTGGGCTTGGGACTGAGCACAGCTGCACTCGGGGCCCGAGGCTTTGCTACCATCTACTGTGAAGTGCTTTTTTGTGAAAAAATGGCCCTAAAAAGAAAAACCTGGCTGAAGCTGGAGCCAGGCAGGAGGGCACACCCTCCTCCCCTCCTGCCAGCCCTGCTTCCTCTCTCCTTCCATTCCCTGCCCGGCATCCCCCAATCTCTTGCCCGCCACTCCTGTCCTAGGGACCCGGACACAGGCAGTAGCACACCTAGAGGCTGACGGCACGGAGTGTGCCTGGATGCCCCTGGCCACCCCATCACACCCCTCCTGTGCGTCCTCCTGCCTTGAGCGGCCTCTGCGCAGGAGACGCCTGCTCCCATGCCTGCAGGGAAAACGTGGGCAGCCTCAGCACCAGGTCTGGTCAGCACACACAGATTCCTCTGCCGGGGGCTTGGACCCTTGCTAAGCAGCAGCGGCTGTCCGTGTCTCACGCGGGAAAGCATGGAGCAGGGCAGTGCTTCAGGCCAGGGGGGCACACGTGAGGAAGGCTCTCGGGATCTGCTGGGAGCCAGGGTGCTCCAGCAGCTGCTCGTCCCCGCACGGCTCCCCCAGGCCGCACCTCCACACCATGCTCTAGGCCCCGCCTCTCTACTCCCCTGGCAATCTCCCCTGGATGGGCACATCCCACCACGTGCCCGAGACTGCTGCCCAACCCCAGGCCTCCCCTGCCTCAAGACCCAGCATGCGAGGGGGAACCTAGCGCTCCTCTCAACGCTGTGTCCTGTGGTCACTTTCTGAGGGAGGTCCCCATCTTCTAGATGGCTCGAACAACTCCTGGCCTTCTCCCCACCCATCAAAAATCCTGTCATCTTCCCGCTCACTGTGTCCCTCCCCCTCTCTGCCAAGGCCCAGGCCCACAACAAGTGCTAAGCTCCTATCCCCCGTTCCCCAGCAGGGCCGCTCGGAGGCCTCCCTCTCGTCACTCACCCCCGTGCCCTTGCTCGGTCTCGGTTTCCCACTTCCTAACCCCTGAAGGCCCAGCTCCCAGGCTTGGCTGCAAAGCCGCCCACACCTGGGCTCCAGCCCACCTTCCAGGCTGCTCCCCGGGCTTCCCTGTGGCCCAGGCCCCGCAGCTGACCCTACTGCCCCACCACTTCCGCATGTCACAGGCTTGGCTACCTTAAGCAAGTTTAACTCTACCTCAGGGAAACAATTTAGAGGCAGGTGTCCTTTAAGGAGTGGGGGTAGCCCTCCCGACCCTGCCACCCAGCAGCTGACACCTGAGAGTGAACACAGAATGGGGACAGGGTCTACCGCCCCCTCCCACAGCCTTGCTGCCGCCCGTGCAGTATCTGGAGAGGACCCGGGGGCTCTGGTACTAAAAAGGGAGCACTTTTCATGCAATGGGGCCGCTGTGAGCAGGCCAAGGCTCCCCTCTACTGCTGAGACAGACAGGGCCGTCTGCACCGGGCTGGACCTCCCGGGAGGTAGGACGTCTTCCTAAGGGGTTTTCGAGGCTAACTCTGTCCATGACTTTCACCTCAGAAGCAAAGTCCTGTCTGAGACGGGACGCCAGCACGCTCGCCTGTTATTTGCACCTCCTGTCCCTTCTCCTTGGTGAAATCCTACCCTGGGACCTCCCAGCACGTTCCTGAGCCATCTGCACCCCACCTTCCAGGACCCACCCCGCCATGCCCCACACACTGAGGGCTGCTCGTTCCCGGGGCGACATGCCCGCACAGTTTATGGTTTCTCTGGGCTGCAGGGGAGCTCCTGAGCGTGGGGTCCTCGTCTGCTACTCCCCTGCCCGGAACCGTGCCCATGGTGGCTGAGCGGGGTGTGAAGGCCCCGTCCGGCAACGGACTCACCCACCTATGTGTGGGTCCAGAGGCACTTTCCCCAGGAGCGGGATCTTCAGATCCTGGCACATGACCTCTGCACCCCCCGTTGTTGGGGGGAATATCTGAGATTCTTTCTGTGAGGCAAGTCAAAAGGGGAAGAATTAGGATTTTGTTTCAGAGTCATTAAAAATGGACATTTTAAAGCAACTTACAAAAAAAAATGGCTGTCTGAATGTGAAACATTAACCACCAGAAGAAATTTCATTAAATCAGCAATAGAGACTTTTGTGATTCCACTTCCCCAAATGACGGGGGAAAGCAGAAACAGTGTCCCAGAGACCCCCTTCCAGGCTTCCCTTCTCCACGGAGGAAGGGACCCATTGGCTGAGCCCCAGGCGGCCGTGCCCCCACCTTGCACTTGGGGCAGACGAAGACGCTCATGTTCTCCACCACTCCGATGATGGGCACCTTCACCTTGTGGCAGAAGTTGATCTCTTTCCGGACATCCTGGAGGGACACCTCCTGTCAAGGTTCAAAAGACCGTTTGTTTCAAGGTCAAAGTGGAAGAAAGAATGTTTGTGTGGTTGCAGGGACGGCCGGTGAGATGCACTGGGTTCCCCATAAAGCCTCAGAGACTAATTCAGCAAGTATCTCTCTAGTCCCAACCATGGGCTGAGCCCTATCCTAGGGGCTATTTCCCCCCAAACCCTAAGAGGATAAACGTGAACGGCCAGATAGCAAACTTACAATTAATGCACAGAAAAGTAACCTTTTGTAATATCCCCACATTCTAGTTTCTCATCAACATACTACACTGAGCCAAACTGTGCAGTAGTTTCTAAACTGGGGGATAGGAAAGGATGGCCTGTGGGCCCAGTCTGGACATCTGTTTTTATTTATTTTTGTTCAGACTTAGTTATGAGAGCAGAAAGAGAGTGGGAGGGGGGTGGCGGGATGCGTGAGGGAGAGAAACTCAAGCAGACTCCACACTGAGCATGGAGCCTGACCCGGGCCTTGATCTTATGACCTGAGTTCATGACCTGAACCAAAACCTAGAGCTGGATGCTTAGCTAGGCCATGGAGGCGCCCTTACTTTTTTTTTTTTTTTTCTAAATAAACTTCTAGACATAGCCACGCCCATTCCTCTACATGTAACCAGGGTCTGCTTTTGTCCTACAGTGGTACAAGGGAGTGTTTGGGACAGAGGCCCAGGGTAAAGGGTACAAAGGGTAAAATACTTACTACCCTTTATTGAAAAAGTTTGCTAACCTCTAATCTAGACTATTATAAACACAAACAACTTTATGGACAAGAAGAAAATAAGGAATATTCCCATATTCAGATAAAATGCACCTCTGAACTCTAAAACCCCCTTTTACAGGGATAAGTAATGTAGCGTCCTGGCTTGGAATCTTCTCTACTCCCCCCGGGGTCATGGGGTCACAGACACACTATTCCTAGCTTGCTGTTGTCAAGTAACCGGGCTCCCAAAGGTTCAAGGCTTCGAGCTGCCTCTCCTGTGGCACACATTTGGTTCTCAGTCCCTTTGAGACCGAGGTACAGACAAAAAGGCATTTAATTAGAAAATAAGCTGGTTTCAACTGGTCATAGCAACTCTGCGGTTCTCTCCTTAGTGGTCCTATGAGAAAAGGGCCTGCTTTGTCAAAAAGGACCCTCAAAAGAGAGCTGCCTGCCTGTGCCCGCAGCCGTGAAGGACTCTGAGAAGGTGGGTGACCCTACTGTTAAGTCACGCTCTCCAGAGAAGTTCCACACAAAGAGGACACAAATGCCGAGCATCTTCCCACAGCTTCCTGGAGAAGGGCCAGCAACTGCTCATTCTGTTTCCCTCCTGACCCCAAGGGGGACGTCATGCTCAGTTTCATAATAAATGTGGCTCTGGGGAGGCCATCTTTCCACCAACTGCATTGTTGCTGTTTCTTAAGAGATGATTTTAGAGTGGTTCTACGTTCACAGCAAAACTGAGCAGCAAGAGTTCCCGTGTGCCCCTTGCCCCCACACCCATAAACCACCCCACCAGCGACATCCCACATCACAGCGCTCCATTCCAGATAGACTGTCTTCCTTCCAGGTAACGTGGCTGGGATCCACTCATGACCACACTGCTGGTAAAAGTTCAAAACCACTGTTAAGTCCATCTTCACTACCACCCGCTGGGCCAGGTGCTCCCCACCTCTCGCCACTTAAGTGGTGTCCTGCCCTTCCCTGTGACCCCAAGACCCTCTCCACAGGGCACCAGAGTGCAGTCACATACACATCCTGTGCCAGCACTCGCTGACCCGGGCACCTTCATGTGGCCCCTGGTGTCTGTCACACGTTGTTGGAGCGCAGTGTGGGCCTCACGTCCAGCACCCACCTTCCTCTGTGAGCCGCACAGGGAGGCACAGGGGGCCGTGAACGAGGGCCGGCCTGTTTCTCCCCTGGTGCCTGGCATGCTGGTGGTCTGTGAAGGTCTGGTGAGGCCTGAGGGTGGGACGGACTGATCCACGGACAGACTAAAGCCTCCTTTGCCTTTTTTTCTTAGGAGCGGAGAAGAGTATCATGGACAAGAAGGTCCAGTTGAACGGAATAATCTATTATTTTCTTGGCAACGACAGTAAAGCCTGTTGCAGACCTGACTGCGTTTATTTACTGCTGGATTCACTCCAGAGGACACCCCTGCGCTCTCCTCAGTCTGGGTGCAGCATGGCCTCCAGGTGACTGGGGTGGGCACTGCTGGAGAAGGGGCCAGGACCACGGCGGCTTCTCCAGAAATCGGGTCTATACCCCAGGCCGGCTCTATGGGAAGCCGGGCAAGGCTCACGGAAGCAGCACGCAGGCTGCGGGGACTGCTGTGTGAAGCACAGTAAGGGTGACATGACCTCGAGGGACAAGCTGGATTCTAACGGCACCAGGGGTCTTGCCGGCTTTCGGAGGGAAATGGGAAAGGCCACTGTGAGCCAATGCGGCTTTTACCTGGGGACAGAAAAAACTGTGGAATGCTTATTTGTGAATAGCAAATGCCTGGGCCCCAGGTACAGCTTCTAACCCAGTTTCTGGAGGTCCACACTGAGGGCTGCTGGAGCGCCACGTACTGGGGAGCTGCTCTGGGAAACGGGTCCGGAGGCTGTGCCAGAGACAAACCTCCGACACGGCCGAGTCCGGTGCCAGCAGCCCCCAGGCGCCTGCTCACCTGAGGTGTGGTGATGATCACGGCCCCGTCGAGGCGCGCCGCCGACAGGTACTGCACGGCCGACAGGTGTTCGTCTGACGTGCCGGGCGGGGTGTCCACGATGAGGTAGTCCACCTCTCCCCAGTCCACGTCACGGAGGAACTGCTTGATCATGCCTGCAGAGAGCGCGCCACAGAGCCGCTGAGGCCTCTGCTCTCCCTTCTCTGTACCTGCAGCCCCTCAGGCACTTTGGGATTCTCAGGGGCCCCGGCCTGTGCTGTCTGTCAGCGGTGGCTGCGATGACTCAGACATGTCGCCGGCACGACTTGGGTGGGGCGCAGGGGGCACTGGCATCCAGACGGTAGAGGCAGGGGTGCGGCCAGCATCCTGCGGCCTGCAGCGCAGTCCTGCCCTCCCCTAACCAAGGACTGCCTGGCCCCCAACAGCAACGGTGCCAAGGCCGAGCAACCCTGCCCGGTGAGGGCCACTCCTGCCTGCTTCCCTTAAGCCTCCTGCCCAACCACCCTGGTAGTTACCTCACACGCTTCCTGCACGCAAAATACTGTGAAACCACAGTGAAACAGCCCGAGGGTTACCCAGCCTTCAAAGACGGAAAGTCGCCGCAGATGTTACAAACGATAAAACAGCGTCTGTTAGCTCCCTCGCTATTTCTATAGCTCTCTGCAGCCGGTGCAGAAGCGACCAGACACTGCACCGCAATGCTCCGGAAAGCCCGGCAGAGGACCGTTGCCACCGTGATGGGAGACGGTGCAAAGGAAACCCCAAGAAGTTCTGCTCTCGGAAGACCGTGCTCGCAGAGAGAAAGCAGAGGGGCAAACCATTTTTCTTTGGTCCCCTCCAGATGACGGCGTCGTCAGGACTGCTGAGCAGGAAACCGACTGACATCACCCCCAGGTTGTCTTCCACGAACTGGAGAGGATGAAGCAGAGAACACTGAAAACCACAGCACAGGGCACTTCCTTGTCGTTTATCGGAGCTCAGACTGAAAAGGCCGTTTTGAGAACAAAATGACCCTGGGATCTCTGGGTCTATTCATTTTTTGATTCCACAAATCATTGTGGGGGAAGAAGGGCTACCATCCTGGGGGACCCGCACGGGGTGCCCGGGGCCACGTGCGGCAGTGCGGGAAGCGCGGCGCAAGCACGTCCTCGGCTGCCCTGGCCTAGGGTGGCAAACTGTGGCCAAACCTGGCCCAACTCCGTGTTTCCTATAATGTTTTATTGGAACACAGCCACTCATTCGTTCACGTACTAGGACTTTCCCACTATAATGGGATAGCGTGTGGCCCATAACAGGGAAAATACGTACTGTCTGACCCTTTATAGAAACGCTTTGCCAATCCCTGATCTTACCTGTGCTCCCTGAGTCTAGAAGAGTGGCCCAGTCAATACTTGCTGACAGATAAACAGCTGGGCTGAGGACCGTGCTGCATGCCCAAACCGTGTCCGTTCTGAACACGTGGCCCAGGGCACACTGCCTGGCAAATAAGGCAAAGATGTGAAAACTCACCACTGGAGACCAGCCCGAGCCACTCTGGTGAACCTGCAGGGAAACGAACACCGATGTTTGCTGGTAAGAAATGAGGCACCGTGGACGTGGTTCTGACACACTCAGATTTACGCGTTAGGAAGACAATTTTATAAAACACAGTTCGTCGTTTTAAATGCCACCACTCAATTCTGACTTGAGAGTCAGCAGCTGGGGTGAGGCCATGGGTAACAGAAGCTGTGCTTCCTACCCCCCCACCCCCACGCCTCGGGCTGGGTTTTTCTGAAATGCTTAGATGAGTCCAGGCAGAGAAGCAAGCTTGGCCAAGCTCGCACAGAATTTGGGGTGTAACGTGTATTATAAGCGGGGCAGGAATCAGGCGGGGGTTGCTGAGCAAACGGGGCCAGGCTGCCTCGGTGCACATCCGGGAGTGAAAGGCTAGGCTTCAGTGAACCAGGGGGACCAGACCCTGCCCCGGCGGAGCGTCTGCGCTGGTCTGCTGCACCTCCCGGGAGGGGGGCGGGCAACATGAAGCTCACGGGGCCCCCTCGAGATTCAGATGCTGTCCTTCCAGTAGGTGCTCGGTAATAGCCGGCATCCCGCCCCATACTGCCTCCTCATCCTGAGACTAGAGCTGACTCAAACGCCAAGTACACATCGGTCTTAGCACGTGGGCCTTACAGCAACCCTGGAGCCAAAACAGAACCCGTTTTCTTTTCTCAACAGCCCTACAGAGGCCTAATTCACATACTACACCAGTCTCCCGTTCAAAGCGTACACATCCATGGCTTTCGGGCTATTGCCAGAGCTGGGCACCCACCACCAGTCGGCTGGAGAACGTTTTCATCACTCCAGGAAGCTACCCTAAGCCCCGTGACGGTCACGCCCAATCTTTCCACGTCCCCTCCGCCGCCCCCCATCCTAGGTGACCCCCATCTCCACTCCGTGTCCACAGATGTGCCTGCTCTGGACAGCTCACAGAAATGCAACCCTTGGGTGCCTGGCGTCAAGGTCTTCTCGATTTTTACGTACTTCACAAATTCCAGTACAGTGAACGTGCAACGCTGCCTCCGTCTCGGAGGGACGTCACGGTGATGCGACGCCTGCACGCTGAGTCCGTGCTCATCACCCCAGCGGTGCACTCAGTCCTCGGCACCTAGTTCACCCAGCTCTTAACAACAGCCACCCTTCATGCCTATGGAAACTCATTCTGCATGGGGGCAGGCCTGGAAGACGGATAAAGGAAACGAGCCGTAGCGCAGAACAAAACGGCCAAACTTCTGCTCTCTCGCACCGTGTGAACTATCAGTGCCGACAGAAGCCTCGCGGATGGTGTGGGGGGTGCCCAGAGCCCGCAGGCCAGCAAGCGCAGCCGTGCAGTGGGTGCACGCCACGGGGCCTGCTACCGATGGGGGTGTGCGGGCAGACGTGCGCCCTGCAGCTCGGCCTCCACCCCCGACAGCCTCGTGCCCTTCCCAGCACCCTGGGCAGCATATCCCAAGCCCCGAGCAGAGTCCACAGGCCCCGCCTGTCTGCTTCTGGCTCCTGTCCCCTCCCTTTGTCCCTCTGCCACTGTATGGAGGACACGCCTGCTTCAGCCATCCTGTACTTGCTCTCGTGGCCCAAAAGGCTCTTCGCCCACTCCTCACAGCAGAGGGTGCCCTTGCTGCACCCTGACTCGCCCCAACCCCTTACCCAGCCTTCATCCTCTACTGTCCATCAACTGCCCCCTCCCCCCAGGGCCGGGGGCTTCATCTGCCTCGTTCACCACTGTACCCCAACCCAGCAGGGCCCAGCAATCACATCAAGAATGAGCCCGTCTGACACCCTGGGAACATCCTAGCCCCCCAGCCCCATTTCAGTGCACTGCCTTTGAGGGGGCCCCTTTCCAGAACAGCTTCTTGGCACGCAGGACAGGAGGGGGTGGCCAGCACTTGCGTGGACTGCTGTGGTGCTGCAGCCCTGTCCCCACCCCATGTCACTCTGCCACTCACAGTCTCAGTTCCCCAGGGGTGACAACAAGGGCAAAAACATTCCCTCGTTTCCAGAGTACAGACACCTGGCAAGGACTGGTCTAGCTTTCCCAGGCTTTGCGACGTCTCTGTGCCCTACTTCCACATTTTACTTGCTGTTTCCCTTCCCCTCTGAGAAGGCACTGAAACTGAGGGTTCTCAAATGGCACAGGCGTACTTGACAGTCCCAGTCCTTCAAGTTCACAGTGGCCGCTGAGGCAGACAGACGGACTGCCGAATGTGCACCTGGGTTCAGCATGGCCGTGTAAAAGTGCATGGCTCTGCCGACCCCTCTGTGTGAGATTACAGTCCGGGGCCACGGCATGCCGTGGGAATACTTTCCTGCGGTTCCTCCTAGGCTTATTACCTGTTCTCCTTCCAAGCCCATTATCTTGGGAATTGACGGCCCACATATATCAATGTCCAGAAGAGCGACCTGGGAAAAAAGAAGAGACCAGAACAGTGATGCAACTGAATGTACAATCTTCCAGATGTGCACCAGTGGGAAAGGAGGGAGGAGGAAATGAGGAAGGGGAGAAGATGGAAAGAAATGGAGTCAAATGAGGACCGAGTAGAGTCTCGGTCCCCATCCCCCATGTCTAGCCTAACTCTGGGGTGATCTTCTGGAGCCGGCGTCAGGTCCCCTAAAGATTCGGGCCCAGCCACCATCCACTTGGCCTTTACCATGGCCTTTACCATGGGCCTGAGGGGCGGGTATCGTGATCCCAGCTTTCCAGAAGAGGGAATGGAGGTTGGAGAGGCCCAGGGATGCGTTCAGTAAGCAAGCAGCAGAGCCAGGACCTAGCCCGAGTTCTGGCGACTCCCCCACCAGGGCTCCTTCCATTAGCCCAGGAGGACTAGAAAGGAGGGCCCAAGTGGAAACTCCCACCAAGCTCTGACCGAGCCCCACTGTGCTGTGATCCCGAAGGTTAATGATGGCTTAGCCTCAACTTCTAAAATAAGAAGGAAGACTAGGAAAGCTCTTTGCTGGTGATCTCTGCAACCTCCAATCACTCCTTCCACCCCAAACACCCTGCTTTCTTGGTGTGATAAACGAGAAGGTCTGAAACAGTCTCCAGGAGCCATCTGAAGAGCAGAGTTAATATTCATCTTGAAAGGTCAGATACCAAGCATCCAAAGTGCACCACGTCTGGGTAACTTTTTAACTTGCCCCGAATTGGTTTCTTGCTTCCTGCTTCACTGCCCCCTGCAAACCCCCTACCTCCTGCTTCCTCACACCCGTGATCACGAAGACTGTTCATCCTGAGACCAGCCGCTTGCCTCCCCCGCCCTCTGCTGGACCAGCTGAAGAAAGCACCAGAAAGATGCCGTTGCCGCACGGCAAGGCCGGTGTGTGTATCTCGGAGACTCACGATTCACGAAACTACACCATTACTATGACCCTAACAGACTTCACAGTACTTTCGGTTTCTAGCCACTCTGTCTCTGTGCCCTTTCTTTCGGGAACAATTTAACGTTTCGAGGAACTAAACTCCCCAAGGGGATGAGTCTTGAGTGAAATGACTCAAGGAGGGAGGAAACATATCATGGGCACTCACGCCCATGGCGGTACCCAAAAAGGCTGTGAATGGCCCTGCTATTCAGACCCCTGAGGGGCTCTGTGTTCTGTCCCTTTCAGACTTCCTGTTCAACCTGTCCCTACCTTAATATCCATCCAACTGGACTCCCTTTCTGCTCAGGCCAGAGAACCTGAGCAGAGAAACGTGCCTGAGGAAATCCTACCAGGGCCTCTGGGGAAGGTGCTAGAACCCTGATGAGACAAGCAGACTTCGCCACACCTCTCTCCCAGCCAGAGACTGGTGGAACAGGATAGTGTCAGGATCCACAACTTTCCCATACCCAGCACACCCAAACTCCCCCTTAAGAAGAGGTCCTGGGAGGTGACTCTTGGCACTCCAAGGCTGTGTTACCTCATACAAATGGCTTCTGTCAAACAAATGTTCAGGAGACCATCAGGCCCCTTCCAGCTCCAAAGTCTACTAGCCCTAGAGATGGGCCTCAAACACTTCAGTCCGGAAGCCCCCAGAGCAGACCTGTTATCTGCAAGGCATGCTATAGCTCACAAGGCAGGACGACCTCCTGGTCACTCGTGGGAGCTGGTGCCCCTCCCATGGAGAAGCAGGATGTGAGTCTGTGGTGTCTCCCAGTTCAGGTGTCCTGCTCCCCTCACCACAACTCACACACGCCCAGCCTGCCTGTGAACCGGGGAGGCAGTTCCCAATTCTGCTCCCTCTTGGCTCATGCCCTTTGCTAACGAGCTGCTGTACACCTGCCTGCCTTGAGCAGAAGAGCCCTGCTCAGAGGCAGGGATGAGCTTCCACTGGACAGCAGACAGGAAAGGGACCAGGAGTTTCCCTCCTGAATTGAGGCAAGGAAGAAATGAGTGCTGAGAGTGATCAGCCAGACTCGGGGTCTACTGTCTGTCACTACCCCACACCCTCTGGAGACAGGGCCGTTCCCAGTCACGAGCGGGATCTTGGAGGAAATACACTTTTCTTAGTGTGGACTTTTTTTTTTTTTTTTTGTAAGCCACCACCACATAAACAAATCCAGCTTCTCTAGCCTGATTTCCACACTGGACGGTGCGTTTTCCTTCACTTGCCAAGTCCAGGCAACTACGTCACAACAGAATTATATAAAAGCACAATTTTACATAAACAGCTCTCTATTTCCAAGGGGTTACTTGCTTCTGGCCCGGTTAAAGCCCATCTTCAGAGGGCTGCTTAAGAAAAAAAAAAAAAAAAACAGAGGAATATAGGGGAAGGGAAGGAAAAATGAGTTAAGATGAAATCCGAGAGGGAGACTCGTAACTCTAGGAAACTAAGTGAAGGCTGCTGGGGGGCAGTCGGGTGGGGGATGTACCTGGACGATGGGGATTAAGACACTGCATGTCACGAGCACTGGGTGTTGCAGGCAACTGGTGACTCACTAAATTCTACCCTGAAACTCGTAATACGCTATGTTAATCAGCTGATTTTAAATAAAAAGAAAATTAATGCACACACAAAATAAAATATGCCTGACGGCTTCTAAAAGCAAAGAACACTCCGGATGGTATGGATACTGTCTCAGAGAAATCATCAGTGTTTGGCCAACCAACTGGCCAATACGCATTTGACCCTCAAATGTCAGGAGACGGTTAACAGAGCACATCAGTCAGTGCACTTGCACCTGCTCAGGCCCGTAGTTGGTGGGGGTGGGCCACAAGCCCCGCACCAAAGCAGAAATAATCACCCTGCTCCCCCGCGATCCAGTTAGTGGGTAAAGGAACGACGCCTGCTATCACAGACATTCACTGAACACTTACTACGGAGAAGACCTCAGGCTCCGGCCTCATTTGTCCCCTGGCACTTGTTACACCCACCACCTTCATCTGGGCCCTCGTGGCTGCTCACGGAGACACGAACACCATCTCCCACCTGGCTTCCTGTCCCCTCTAATGACACCCAACCACACACTCGGCTGACGGTCATTGCGAGGCTCCTCAAGCAATGCTCCAATCCTGCCTCTCTGCTTTCCAGATGCCTTAGCAAGTCCTTCAAAGCCTCCCTGGTCTGGCCCAGCCTCCTCCTCGGGCCCCCTTCACCGGAGAAGCCCCACCAGACTGCCCGCCACAAACACTTTCCATCCGTCCCCACCACAGGCCAGAGGCTGCCTTCTCTAAGCCCAGGGGACCCTCCCAGGCTCCCTTCCCTTGTCCCAGGTCCCTAGAGCACATCTCAGAGGGTGGATGCCAGATTTCAGAGAAGCCCGCCTCAGCCACTGGCAGGCCAGCATTCTAAAATGCTCAGAACAGAAATGAGGAATAAGGGAGAATTCAGAGCCTGGGTGCGTGAGAGGAGCACCGAGCATGACAGGTCACCAAGTCCAGCCTCTTCCCTCCCGAGAAGGCTGGGCCTTGCCCAAGGTTTCAGTCTTGCTCCAAAGATGCACTACCCCAGCCAGCACCAGTGTTTCTGGTGCTACCAACCAAACCAGGGCCCGGTGAACTACAACCTGGGGGCCAAACCCAGCCTAGTACCTGTTTTTGTTCAGCCCACAAGGTAAGAATGGTTATTACATTTTTAGAAGGCTTTGGGGGGGGGTTGGAAATTTTAAAAAGTCTACTTCATGATGTAAAAATTATGTGAAATTCAAACATCAGTGACAGTAAAATTGTGTTAGAACACAGCCAAGTTTGTTTACAGACTGCCTATGGCTGCTTTCCTGTTTGAGGGCAGGACTGAGCGGTTGCCATAGCAACCGCAGGGCCAACAAAACCTAAATTATTCACCATCTGGCTCTTCACACAAGAGGTGTGCCCAGCCCTGAAGCAAATTCTAATTTTTTTTTAATTTTTTTTTTTTTAAAGATTTTATTTATTTATTTGACAGGCAGAGATCACAAGTAGTCAGAGAGGCAGGCAGAGAGAGAGAGGGGAAGCAGGCTCCCTGCCGAGCAGAGAGCCCGATGCGGGGCTCGATCCCAGGACCCTGGGATCATGACCTGAACTGAAGGCAGAGGCTTTAACCCACTGAGCCACCCAGGCACCCCGCAAATTCTAATTTCTTAATCCAGCGATTTGAAAACTGTATTCCTAGAGTCCTTGGATACTGGCGTAGGGTCTCAGTAGCCTGTGTGTCCTGAGCATAGTTCAGAACGGTGGGTTAGATCCTCTGTGTGCTGTAGCTGGCTTTTTTGTGAAGAAGTATCAAGCCTTATGTCAAGATCTTATGGTGTTGTTTCCTACTTACGTACAGTGGTTTATTTACTATAGGTATACAACACTGAAATTTATCCAGCTTTTAGAGTTTTTGTTGTTTTTTTTTTAAAGATTTTATTTATTTATTTGACAGACAGAGATCACAACTAGGCAGAGAGGCAGGCAGAGAGAGGGGAGGAAGCAGGCTCCCCGCTGAGCAAAGAGCCTGATGCAGGGCTTGATCCCAGGACCCTGAGATCATGACCTGAGCCAAAGGCAGAGGCTTAACCCACTGAGCCACCCAGGCGCCCCAGCTTTTAGAGTTTTCAAATATAACGGGCAATGTGTGGCAGTTGTGAAATTTCAACACTAGGCTAAATGTACCTTTACAGTCCCTTTTAGCACTTTTTTTTTTTTAAGTCAAACAACAGTGAAAGGCTGTTTATCAGTTAGAAAAGAAATCTAAACCTCAGCCTTCGTATATAAAAATAACTCAATGTTCAAAATGCATGGAAAGAAAACGAACGCTCAGGAATAAGTCGGTGTATGAAGGAGGCATGATGACCACGGGAAGAACTGAAATGGGAAGAAACAGCTTTCAACATGAAAACACACACAACTATTTTCCTAACTCCTCTGCAGACCCTGGGCAGCGTCCTGGGATGCAACAGGGCAGGCGGCCATCTCCATCCGGAGAGCCCAGGCTCTCTAACCCAGGCCATGCACAGCGCCGGCACCCAAGTCCTCAGCCAGGTCTCTCGTTTCAGGGGTCAACCCGCTGGACAGCAGGATTCTAAGAGACATGCACACTGCTCTAGAAGTTCTCACGTGGAAACGTGTTTTCCACTGGAATTTTGAACAAAATTTTATTTTGGAAGAAAAACAAAGATGGAATATGTTCTGTGTTTTCAAAAAAAAAATGAGAAACCACAGTATCCATGGTTTTATTAGGTATATCAAGTGGTAATCAACGTGAATACTGGGATCGCTTTTCTAAGGTCTGCAAAATTATCCTGAGTCCCACGAATAACTCAATGTATTTTTAAAATCGCAGGTACTGGGAATTTCCAATCGAGCTTTGTGGTGAAAAGTTATTTCTTCCTCATCATACCATACCTTTCATTAAAGCTGAAATCCAGAGAGCAGCTGAACTTTTACTGGGCAACTGGAGTTTTCGTGCTCATGTGTGGGCTGGGGTACCAGTGAGTGGCCCAGTTCAGGGGCTGGCAAATGTTTTCCTTCTCAAGAGTCAAACAGAAAATACACTTGAGGGCGCCTGGGTGGCTCAGTGGGTTAAGCCGCTGCCTTCAGCTCAGGTCATGATCCCAGGGTCCTGGGATCGAGTCCCGCATCGGGCTCTCTGCTCAGCGGGGAGCCTGTTTCCCTTCCTCTCTCTCTGCCTGCCTCTCTGCCTACTTGTGATCTCTGTCTGTCAAATAAATAAATTAAAAAAAAAAAAAAAAAAGAAAATACACTTGACCTTTGAACAAGGCGGAGGTTAGGGGCAACCCCTGTGCAGCTGAAAATCCGTGTATAACTACTGACTCTACCAAAATTTAACTACTAATAGCTTACCGTTGACCGGAAAGTCTTACAGGTTTAACAGTCGATTAGCACATATTTGTGCATATGGGTATTATACACTGTACACTTATACTACAGTAACCTCCAGAAAAAATGTTATTTAGAGAAATCATAAGGAAAACACATTTATAGTACTGTAAAAAAATCCAGGGGCACCTGGGTGGCTCAGTGGGTTAAAGCCTCTGCCTTCGGCTCAGGTCATGATCCCGGGGTCCTGGGATCGAGCCCTGCATCGGGCTCTCTGCTCAGCGGGGAGCCTGCTTCCCCCTCTTTCTCTCTGCCTGTCTCTCTGCCTGCCTCTCTGCCTCCTTGTGGTCTCTGTCAAGTAAATAAATAAATATTAAAAAAAAATCCACATATAAATGGAACCACGTGGTTCAAACCCACGTTGTTCAAGGATCACCTGTATTTTAGACTTTGTGGGCAAAATCAAGGACACCATAAAACAATTCAAAAGCAACTGTTTATAGATGTAAAAATCATTCTTAGCTCATAGACCGTAAAAAGAGAGGGGCTGAATTTGCCCATAGGCTATAGTTTGCAGACCTCTGGCTTAGAAAGAGGCAGGAAGGGACTGAGAGGAAGAACTCTGAACCTAACAAAATGATCAGCGATACCAAATGAAATCTACACCTGCTATCCATTGTCACAGATAGGGAACCTAACGAAAAGTTTCATCTCGCCGCATAGCGGCCACGCGTTTCCTCCTCTCTGCAAGGATCTAGAGTCCCAAGAGACCAATTCAATTTAGTCTAAGCAATCAGTTCTCCAGAAGTCATCATACATCCTCATATAGGATCCTCTCCCACTTTTCCCCAAGGCCTCACCTGTGTGTTTTCATCCTCTGCTAGGCCATGGGCAAGGTGGGCACTGAATGTGCTTTTTCCAACGCCACCTTTCCCAGATAATACCAAGATTTTGTGTTTCACGGTCTTCATTTTTTCTTTGATTTCTTCTATGGCTGCAAAGAAAGCAAATCAGGTGATTTAGTCCCTGAACTAACTTTCAAGTGTCACTTTTTCCAATGGACCAGCAGGAGCTAAATCCTTTGGGGCCACTTCAAGGGCCTGTGTGTGAAAGATCACCTAGTCAATGACAATAACAAGCACTACAAAGAAAATAAAGTTATTATCATCTCTGAAATTTTCTTGTTTATTGGTTTACTTGTCTGTCTCTTACTAAAACATAAGCTCCACGAGGATACAGACTGTCTGAAATGTTCACAGCCATGTTCCCAGCTTCAGAAGAGCTTCACACATAGTCATGGCTCCCAACCTGGGGGCAAAATCCACCTGGGGACACTTTTGATTGTCACAAGGAAGGGGTGCTGCTGTTGTGTAGTGAGTAGAGGCCACAGATGCTGCTTAATGTTTAACAATGCCGGCACCTGGGTGGCGCAGTAGGTTAAATGTTCAATTCTTGGTTTCGGCTCTGGTCATGAGATTGAGCCCTGTGTTGGGCTTTGCGCTCTGCTCAGCATGGAGTCTGCTGGAGATTGTCTTCCTGTCCCTCTGCCCCTCCCCCTGCTCGTGTTCTCTCTCTCATATACTTCCTAAAAAAAAAAAAAAAAAAAAATGCCTAAGAATGCTCAGGACAGCACCCCACCCCAAAGAATTATCCAGATCTAAATTTTCATATGCCAAGGTTGAGAATCCCTTACAAACAGCAGGGATTTATGAGGACCAGTCACAGATAACCATCACAGATCATACACTTGCTGTGCACTCAACATTTCACCTTACTTCAATTCCTTATCATTCCACCATGAAGTAACTATTCTACCTGCCCCTTATTTATAATTTTTTTTTAAAGATTTTATTTGACAAAGAGAGAGACAGCGAGAGAGAAAGAGAGAGAGAGAGAGTGAGCACACAAGCAGGGGGAGTGGCAGAGGGAGAAGCAGGCTTCCCGCCAAGCAGGGAGCCTGACGTGGGGCTCGATCCCAGGACCCTGGGTTAGAAGGACCTCGAGCCGAAGGCAGCTGCTTAACAACTAAACCACGCAGGAGCCCCTGTCCCTTATTTAAAAAGTAGGTTACGAGGGGCGTCAGACTCTTGCTTTCTGCTCAGCTCAGACAATGATCCCAGGGTCCTAGAATCAAGCCCCAGGTCTGGCTCTGCATTCAGTGGGGAGTCTGCTTGGGATTCTCTTCCTCTCCCCCGCCCCCTCTCCTGTTTGTGAGCACGCTCTCTCTCAAATGAATAAATAAACCTTAAAAACAAAAACAAAAACAAAACAACCCAAGAAGTTGGTTCCAAGTCCAATGTGAGGCTTGAACTCATGACCCTGACATCAAGAGTCACATGCACTATGGACTGAGCCAGCCAGGCACCCCGAGCCCCATTTTGGGTAAGGGAATGGAGGCTCAGAGACTTTAGGAGTCTTGCTCAAGGTCATACTGTTTGCGGGAACCAGGAATCAAACCCGAGTCTCTCTGGGAACTCCTTCACAATTCTCTCAGCCTCCTTTCTTTTCTTTTCTTTTCTTTTTTTTTTAATTTGACAGACAGAGATCACAGTAGGCAGGGAGTCAGGCAGAGAGAGAGGAAGGGAGGCAGGCCCCCTGCTGAGCAGAGAGCCCGATTCGGGACTCCATCCCAGGACCCTGAGATCATGACCTGAGTGGAAGGCAGAGGCTTTAACCCACTGCGCCACCCAGGTGTCCCAGCCTCCTGCTTTTTAAGATCCTTTTGGTAAATCCCCAGAGTCTGTCCCACCCTCCAATGTGTCCTTCGTCATACTTATCGCTGCGATGATTTAATGCTTGCTCCCTGGTTTATGGGGGGGGGGTCTCCCCTATTAAACTAACATCCACTAGGGCAGCGACCTCTTCTCTCTCATTCACAGCTGTATCCCCAGCACAGAGCACTGTGCCTAGCAGGTGAGGATGTATTTCTGTTAAATGAACAGGAGAAATGCTCCTCAAAAGGAAAACAATTCCGGGCGCCTGGGAGGCTCAGTGGGTTAAGCCTCTGCCTTCCGCTCAGGTCATGATCTCAGGGTCTTCCGATCGAGCTCCGCATCGGATCGAGCCCCGCATCGGATCGAGCTCCGCATCGGGCTCTCTGCTCAGCAGGGAGCCTGCTTCCTTCCCCGCCTCTCTGCCTACTTGTGATCTCTGTCTCTCTGTCAAATAAATAAAATCTTTTTAAAAAGGCGGGGGGGGGGGGGAGACAATTCTGCCCAAGAATAAGCCAGAGCAACCCCCAGTTCAAAGTCTATACCCTATTCCCTAGGACGCTGCCTTCCACCCGACCACTGACTACTGCTGTCACTCAAACCTCTGGCTCCACCCCTTCCCTCCCGCCCCTAGACCCGCTTATCTTGAGACACGCCCTCCCTTACACTGGCAGGTCAGTCCCCGGTCCGTCCCCGGTCCTTCAGGCTCCGCCCCATCCCACTACTTCCCTCTACTCTTCGGACTTCTCCACAGCCCGCCTCCTCTAGGCTCACCCCTCCTCCTAAAAGGCCGCCGGGTCCCACCTCTTCCGGGTTGGCGCCCTTCACTTCCGGTTCAGGCCTGGCCCCTTCCTCACCTGGGTCAGGAGCGGCGCCGGCTCCTGAAGCGCAGAGCCGCTGGTTGGGGCAGCCCTGACATGAGGCCCCTCGACCCGCCTGGGCGCTGCCGGTCCCGGGACAGCCTGCGCGGGCACAAGGTCACAGTTAGAGTGGCTCCTGTCCCTTCAACCTCTCCACCCACGCCCCTTCCGCGCGCTCACCCTGAGGCACCTCCTCCATTCGGCTGCCTTCGATGTCTACGCGGTCACCGGAATACGCCTTACGTATTTCCGTCTCCCCGCGCCCAATTTGACTCTCCAGGCGCGCGAAGTAAGTCTCGGAAAGAGGGCTTTGCTCACGCGCGGACCTTGTGCCCGGTGCTTGGGGCTGGTCTTTTCCTTTAAAGCCGAGCTGTGGAGATCTTCCGTAAATTATTCAGTGTATAACTCCTAGGAACAAAGGCATTATCCTCCGTGACCTCAGTGCTCTTTCATACCCAGGCAATCGGATACTGATGCAAAATTATTAGCTAACGTGCACTTTATATTCAAACGTACTCAATTGTCCCAAAGAAGACCCCCCCCCCCCCGCCCGCCTCCTGGATCCCGTCAAAAGTCGCACCTGCCATTGGTCCTCATCAGGCTCTTAATTCAGAACAGTCCTCGTCTCCTGCCCCCTTGCCATTTTCTGTCTTTGAGGACATGAATGAATGTGGATACAGTCCAGGCCATTCGCCTTATGCAATACCCACTCCAGGATCTTGTTCTGTCCGATTCCCCGCCCCCGCCACGATTAGATTCCCGTTAAAAGGTTTTGGCATAAGGCCCCCGAGTAATGTGAACAACTGTGGTGTCACAGCGAGAGGCACAGAATGACAGTGGGTCCCGCTGTTGGTAAGGTGAGGGCTTGGCCGCTTGGGGAAGGCTGCGTCCGCCCGCCCTGCCTCTCCAGCGAGTGGTACCCTTTTCTGTCTGTAATGAATAAGGGTTCTGAGATGATTCGTGGAGGTCACGTGAGTATCCTGTTCACCAACCTTGCCCTTGACGGTTTTAGCACTGTTCTTGCCTGAACCCGTTCTGGCGGTGTTCCCAAACTTGTGCCTTTGGGTGAGAAAACAGAGGGTCCAAATGTCTGAACTCCTTTCCTCAGGTCACACTGCTGCTAGCGAGGGAGCCAGAGGGATGAACCTGGGCCGTGGGGCTTGTGAGCCTGCCGGGTCACCCGTAACACACAGTGACAGGTGCCTCCGTACGAGCTGCTGGTGCCCCCAAACCGCCCTGATGCCAGTCGTCCTGGCACCCAGCCTGGCCGTCACAGTGGATAACGAAGCAGGTAATTAGTTTTATAAAAGCTATGACATTAGACAACAGGGGTGTTAGGGAAGAAGTCCTTAAAGGGCGGTGGCGGGGGTGACGAGTGGTGTTTCAGACGGAACGAACCACACAAACAAGCCCAGAGGTCAGAGAGAAAGTCCCCTGTTAGGCCGGGACTGTCGTGATCTGCAGTTTGCAGGTAGGAAGACAAGGTCACTGGGAAAGGACTTGGCCAAGGTCTCAGAGCCGGTAAGCAGCACAGCTGGGAGGCCAGAGAAATCTGTTGTAGGGCCTGGGCTTTTGACCACTGTGCCACACACCGGGAGGCAGGATGCAAACTGTTCTCCTTTCACTGAACAAAGTGAGGCTCAGAGGCGTTAAGTGGCTTACCCAGGAGCTTGCAGCCAGAAGGTTCCACCAAACTCTTGAGACCGCAGGCTCTTTTTCCCCACTCAGCCACAAAGCAGAGGCCCAAGGCCAGCCCACTTCTGATCTTCCTTACTGATGTCCCCTAAGACACTTCCGGCACGTTGCTTCCAGCTGTCTTCAGCAGCCCTGCGATCTCTAATTACCCAGGGGCCCTCCCACTCAGCCAGTTTCTCTGCTCCGAGGCAGGGAAGAAAGGTCTTCCACTCCTCAGTCCCTCCCTCCTCGCTCCTCCCCATAAGGCTGTAAAAACCATCATATTCCACACTAGAAAGTAAAATCAAGTAAACTTTCTCTCCGCTTTGCTCCAGATCTCTGTCCTGCGGTCCCCGGCCAAACTCCTGTCTCACCGGGGATGGAATTTTCCATCTGTGGGAGTGGGACCCGGAGGGCAGGAGTGAGGCTGCAGAGCAGATTTCCAGGCCCATCCTGACCTCCTGAATCAGAAACTCAGGGGCTGGGCTGGGGAATCCGCTTCTTTACGCCCTCACCAGATAGTAATTTTATGCACTAAAGTTTGAGAACCACTTCTGAAGAGGAGTACGTCTCAAGACTCTGTCCTTGGCCCACTTGTAGTCACCCTTTCCACATCCTTCATGCCTTCAGGCCTAACAAACTTCTATCCACAACTCTTTCCTCAAACCACTTCCTCCTTCCGGAGTTCTTATCTCAGAGAATGGTACCCCCGCTGCCCTAAGAACTCAGGTCCGAAATGTGAGCATCACACTTGCTTCCTTCTCACCATCTCCCTGTATCAGTTAGCACCTGCTGCATAACAAGTCATAAATACATGTATATGTGTGTATATATGTATACACATACACACACACACACACACACACACACACACACACATACTGTCGTTAAAACAAAGGTTTATTATTTCTCATGAGTCTTCTGGTTTTATCTGGGCTCACTAATGTGGCATCATTCAGGGTGGAACAGAGTAGAAGATTCTCATTCTCGTGTGTGCCTCAGTCTCCCTCCTTGTGACCACTGTCTCTCCACAAAAAATTCAGTGGTCTAGCCGAGCGCCTTTCCATGGCAGCTGAACAAGGCTGAGATCTGGTGCAGGGTCTCTTTCTCATATCGTACTGGTCAAAGCAAGTCCCAAGGACAGCCTAGGTTCCAGGGGCAGGGAAACAGAGGCCACATCTAGATGGGCAGAGTGGCAGGCGTGTATAGAGATGGCGGTACAGGCTGGCAGTCATTGCTAGAAACGTTTATGATGTCTCCCTCCATGTCCAATCAGGCATCAAGTCCCCTGGCCTCACTTCTGTGTGACGTGATGGTGTAGTTCCCTAACTGGTCCCAGTATGTCACCCCACTGTCAGCAAGTCCTCTGTTCTACCCCTAGACTCTGGGCTCAGGCATGTGACTGACTTTGCTCATGAAATGTTAGCCAAAGTGAGCTAACAAAAAACAGGTACGAGCCTGCTCTCACTTTCTTCACTTACCCCTCTGCCCTCACTATGAGAACACCTCGTGGGCTAGCCCGCAGGAGGGAAGACATACGGGGCCAGGCTGAGCCACCTGGGGTGGTCTCAGCCAAGTCTGTCCCAAACCAGGGACCCTGAGACCCGGGAGAGTCCAGAGCCCCCTATCCAGACCCGCAGGTGACCACCAGGTATGTGAGTCCTGAAGAACCATCCAGCCAACACACAGACTCAGGAGCTAAACAAACACTTCACTGTGTTAAGCCCCCAAGTTCGGGGTGGCAACAGACAGCTGAAGCTACATGACATCATCGCCCCGTGACCTTCATCCAGACCCTGATTCTCCTGGGCCTGCAGTGGTTTCTGGGTAGCCCCACTAGGCTATGAGGCCACAACAAGCCTCCCCCAGCCTGTAGAGGCTCGAGGCAGCAGAGATCATTCTTGGCTCCGGCTACTGAGCAGGTTCACGGGCACACACCTGCTCGTCGTTCCTCAGGGACACACAGGACATAGGCCCTACCGTCTCACGTTGCCATGGTCTGAGCACATGCTCCAGAGCTGGAGCACATGACTTGTACAATGCTTCTTCAACACATCCCCCCCAGAAACGACCCCTATGCACACACCTTCTATCCAGAGAATCGGTCACACCCAAAAGAGGCATAGGGAGTGTGGAAGGAGCAGAGACCAGGGAGTGGCCGGTACTGGACTGTCTCTCATGGTTCCCCAGGGGGCTCCTCTGCTACACGTCATACGGTCCTTTCCCCTCACAATTCAGATGGGTCACTCTGCTACTCATGCACCTTCCCTGGCTCCCTATGGCCCAAGCTAGCACCAATCTTGATACGGTTTTCAGTCCAGTTCAACCCCATGACTCGGGTTACCCCTGACACCCCATTTTTGCTCTGTGCCACTGTGCACACCGAGCTCGATCTAAAACTGAATAGCAGGCTTTTCCTTGGCACCCCAGCCATTCCTCTGCGGCTCACAGCAGTCCTTCACCACGACTGTCCTCCCTCTCTGGCCCTCCTCTAGGACAGGTCACCTCTCCGCATCATCCCACGGGAAGCCAGTTCAGGCCCATGGAATCCACGGCCTTCTCCTTTCCTGAACACGGCATGTTCCAGAAGTCTGAGCCCAGTTTTCTGTTTTAGGAACCCAGAAAGTGTGAATGCTGCAAACCTAACCAGAACCAGCATTTGAAAGTCTATTTCTGTTTACATCTTCTTTACATTTATTTAGTTTAGGGAGTTTGATAGATTTTAAATTTAAAGTTTTTATTTCGGTCCCCCTGACTGAAGGTGGTGAGGAGGACCAAAACAACAAAGTAAGAGCTAGAAATGTTGTCATTTCAAATGTGGAAAAACCTCAGTATGTGCCAAAAGATTTAATTAGCTACGTTTTGAAAAGCTTTTAAAAATAAGTTTGTCAAAGTAGAGACCCAGCAGAAAGCTCAGCGACTGCCAGGGGTTGGGTTAGGGAGGGAGGAGTAGGCGGAGAGCCCGGGATTTTTAGGGCAGGGCAGCTCTCCTGCACCAGGTGTGATGGCGAGTACTTGACATTGAGCACGTATCCCGTCTCCCAGACCCTGCACCAGCGAGAAGGAGCTCTAACTCACCCTGTGGACTATAGTTAATAATAACGATTCACTATTATGGTTCACCCAAATGACCCCACCAACGCCAGATGTTAGTAACGGGGGAAATTGCCCGGGTGGGGGTGGGGGGGAAGAGGTAGAGAGGGAATATTCTGGAATTCTCTAAGCTTCCTGGTAACATTTCTCCATATGCCTAAAACTGCTCCGAAAACAAAAATCTTTTTTTTTTTTTTCCTTTCTAAGTTTGGTTATACCTCCGATGTGATGAGAGTTCAAATGTGCGTAAAGGGTGCTGGGACACTTGTGCACATACCCCCTGTAGCTTCCTTTCTCAACGTGGGTACATAGTATGATCCCCTGGGGGTCTTAGGCCAGGCACCTGCTCAGGCGGGGAGCCTTGGCATGTGCCCAAAGGGGTTCTGAACCCGGTTTCCAGTGTGGGGTTTCTCCAAACCAGCAAACAGCGCCGGGGCGCCTGCTGGGTGTCCTACAGTTCAGCCGGGTTCCTTGATTCT